GAGTGACAAGGTCTCATTAGTCTGCCATAGCCTAGACCTGTGAAGGAGGAAGAGGAAGGTGGCCATGGCTATGGTGGACCTCATATGGAAGCCTGAAGTAGAAGAGGGATTCGGACATTGATTCTGGTTCTGCTGTTCAATTTATTGTTGTTCTTTCATGAGTTGAATAAGAGAGGAAGAGATAAAGAGGAGGAGGTTGTTGAGCGAAGAAGAAGAGCTTTGTTTTGGTCTATGCCGAAGTACATCTTCTTCTTCTTCTCTAATTCTTCTTCTTCTTCTTTCCCTCTCTCTCCTCTCAAGTTCAATTATTTCTTTTGCATTTGGGCAGCATTGTACTTTCTGATGGTTGTGGACTTCAAATTGGCCAGGATCGTAACAACTCCTTTAAAGTCCTTTTCCTTCAGTTAAACTTTTTTTTTTTATTCGACCATTTCTCGATGAATGTGTGTCATCCTTACGCAGGGGCCATGCTAGTCTTCTCTCTATTGCTCCAATTCTACCCGATGTCCTGAAGGATAGTTTTCAGAAATTTTTAATTTTTTTGACCAGTCTCTCCCATACAGTTCTGAAAATGCTCTGCTCTCAGTGTTCTGTCCTCTTATCAGAGGAACCTACCGTCTTCACCCGAATACAACACCCGCTCATTATGGCTGCATTTGGACTGAAAATTGGTCAGGCGTTCTATTCGCGTGAAGACAGTAGTAAGTGCTGCCTCAGGGATTGTTTTGTCAGGAGGGACCTTCTACATATTAAGCGAGGGACCTACCATCGAGTAGACTGAGAGGACCTGAAGAAGGATTGTAAGGCTTGGCCCGGTGGACAATTTTCACGCAAAGGATTGATGAAGGCTGCTTGATGGAAGGGAAGCATTTGGTGTGCATCGTGTATCATCTATGACTTGCTGGTAGAGAATGGGAACCAACCAGAGGAATGCTGCCCAAAATAGAACAGAGCCAGAACGAGAAGGACCTTGCATTGAAAAAAAGAAACAAGTGCCACATTTGGTGCACACCCACATGGCCGCACTAGGTACAGACCAGGGGTGGAACTTGTGTGGAACTCAGGAGGTTTCTACCATTGATTGCAGGGTCATACAATGCACCCGCTAAGCAGATGCACAGGGATATGGCTAAGCTGCTTCTACATGACATGTGTTGAATATTTAACAACCGACTCGCCGTTCCCGGAAACTGCACCCCAGACCATCATCTGCCAGGGAAACATGTGCCAAAGTTCCTTGTGCCAAAATCACCACAAACTTCGCGGGACAGTCTACCCTCGCTCCACTCCAATCATTTCCCCTCCTCCCGCGCAACCCCCCCCCCCCCCCCCCCCCCCCCCCCCGGGGAAAAATAAATAAACAAAAGTTTTCTCTGCGGATTTGGGCTGTACTCACCAAGTGCAGTACAGCCTCAAACTCAGATTTGAAAAAAACAACAGCAGACGCCTGTTTTCTGACTGGTCAGCAGACCGCCGACCATCGACCACTCGGTCCTACCCGTCGGCGGGCGGGGGTGCAACCCTGCCACAACGCTTGAAACAACCTCCTCATTCCTGAGGATGCCCAAGAGACAGACTGTAGAGAGCAAGGTGCAAATCTAAAAACACCCCCACTCGACAAAGCTCAATAAATTGTACTCCACAGTTCTCTGCACCAAGCTCCAATTTTCAGTTGCCAAACGTGAAGTGGTTTGGACACTTGGGATAGAAGCCGTGTCGCCGTACCCCCCTCGTGCTGTTCTAAACTCCAAACTTCCAAACAGTCAGGTTCTTGATCTTACCTGAAACAAAGTCTTCCATGAATTGCACTCCCTCGGCCTGATACATCGAGTAGACTGTCCCGCGAAGTTGCCTTGCAAATCCAAGCGGCTCCTCATCTAGCTCCGCACTTGCACCAAGCGCAGCACGTCAGCAAGAGTGGAGAAGTTCATCATATGACTCACCATACGACAGGCTAACAGCCACAAAAATATTCAGACACACTCAGTTCCTAAACCCTGATAAATCACACAGGAGCAGAAGAGTGACAAAACTTCAGCGCATCTACTATCTTGGATAGCTAGCCACCCACCCACCCACCAACCCTCCTCTCTCTCTCTCTCTCTCTCTCTCTCTCTCTCTCTCTGCCCCCCATACACACACACACATGTGCCAACACATGCAGACATAGATCCAAACAATCAAATCCAGCATGTCGTGATGTTGGTTGGCCCACTTGGGAGTTCAGCCACTCTGCTTTCCTTTCAGTTCATTGTTTGTTTTCCCCTTAACCTTTCTGCACTGTTATTTGATCCCCCCTTCCTTCTCTTTCAAATCATGTACTCTTAACCTTTCCGCACTGTTATTTGATCCCCCCTTACTCCTCTTTCAAATCATGTACTCAACATTCTCCATCAATTGACGAATAGCAATATCAGAAAAGAGTTTCAAGAAAGTAACCGACCCCTTTGGACAGTCAAATAGACCATAGCACGGATCTTCTGAGACCCGCACTCCAAATACTCTACACCCGGCATTACGCCCTAGAAATATGGTAGGCCCAGTGGCATCTTGGGTGGCAGACAAACATTCATGGATTTGATAAGCGGAGCGAACAGGGCTCAGACCTGACCGTTCTCACCCCATAATCGACATTGTAAGGTTCAAAGTGAAAAAAAGCCGACACCTGGACAAAATTCTCCGAATCTGGGAGAAAAACCTCGGAAAAAAAGACAACCAAAGTTACCAAACCATAGGAAAGAGTCAAAAGCCTTACTCAAGCGTGTCTTTGTACAACACAACGCGCAGGATCCAGTCGTCTGCAGACTGAGCAGGAAGCCGCTCCATTGCAGCCAGATCGGCTGGGCTGTTCGCCTGAAGATTTCGCCAAATGACTGTCAGCTCCAGTCCTGATAAGTGCAGACCAACAGCACATGGAAATCTGACCACCACTCAGTAACTACCAGGATCCAACCTGGACACATCAAGCATCACGCAAGCTACACATCTCAAAACATTGGTGATGGAAACAAGAGAGACGGAATAACAAAGAATGCCCCATCAGGCCCTCCCCACCCATCCATCGTCCCACCCTTCTTTCGTCATGCTTTCTTGCTTTTACTCTCTGTTACTCTTCTGTTTTCCTCAGGAAACAAGTGAGGCACTGTGAATTGATGAAAGGCGCTGCATTGGTGATGGACACGAGAGACAGAATAACAAACAATGCCCCATCAGGCCCTCCCCACCCATCCATCGTCCCGCCCTTCTTCCGTCATGCTTTCTTGCTTTTACTCTCTGTTACTCTTCTGTTTTCCTCAGGAAACAAGTAAGGCACTGTGAACTGATGAAAGGCGCTCCATCCCTCCACTCCCCCAATTCAATTTTGAAGTTCTTTTTCTCGCTTGATCCCTTATATGCACAGATGCACATTGACATCAGTAAAGTAAAGTGGAAATGGTGATTGCTGACCTGAGACAGATATGTTAAACAGTTAATCGTTCGTGGTGTTTCTTACTTATAGGAGTTGTCTTGCTAAATTGATGGAGAGCTGTACCCCCAAAGGGGGGGTTGAGGCGAATATTTCATCATCGCAGAGTCAGACCAAACTTACATTTTATTTTAGTATTTAAACTGTATTTTACTACAATCATTGAGCTTTTCCGATACGCTTCCAACCTTAATTGCAGGAAATTGTCTGCACTGTATTCTACTCATGTTCTGGACCGGTTTCTTCAGCCCTTGAGATGGTTCTTCAGGCCATGTTAACTCATACAGTAGGTACTTTAAATGACCGACATAAAACCCAACCAGAACACATGGCCCAGATATATAACCATGGAGTAGGGCGGGGAACAAGAAGGAGATAGAAGCAGACGATGGAAAAAGTGAGGCCAAAGGTGGAGAAAGAAATGGGAGAGGGCAAGACAGCGGAGGCGGGGCGGGGGGGGGGGGGGGGGGGGGGGGGGGGGGGGGGGGGGGGGGGGGGAGGAGGGGATGTGGTCCACAACAACCCCTTTTCCACCGGGATGAGTAGATCCAAAATTAAAACAGTCTTACCTTATACTCTTCTATGAAGTTACACGTGATATTTTAAATATTGTGACGTTCGTTGAAACTGTGTTTTATTGTTGTATTCTGAAAGGTGCAAGGCCCACCACGTGCGTACTTGAGCATGGGATGTGCACACATCTGTTTGATTTTCAGCACACCCACAGCCCTGCAAGAGTGGAGGGGGAAGGGAAAGGAGAGGGAGAGGAGGAGGGAGGAAGACAAGTAGAGGGAGGAGAAGCGCACTGGAGAGAGGAACCTTATCAGATTTTCAATACTCACCGGCAGAGCGGATTGCTATGAGAACTATTGTCTCCAGTGTTTGTGTTGTGGGTGCGAGCGGCAATATTGGAGAACTAATTGCGCAGAGTAGCTTCGGACAGTGGACATCTAATGTCAATTTGTCTGCATGAGGTGGTAGGGAATACAGAGGTGACCCCATTCACCATTCAGATCTTGATTCTCTGAAAAATGTCATGGTTGAAAATTAGAACGTCATCCTGAACGGTATATCGTATATATTCGATATAAAAGCTAATCGAGGAGATCGGCTTCAAACAGGGGAGGCCTCTTGTCAATCTGGCTCTGTGAGCTGGTAGAGGATATAAGGTTGACTCTAATCAACGTTCAGACCCTGATTCCCTGAAGGTGGAGGAGAAGGAGGAGGAGGAGGAGGAGGAGGAGGAAGAGAAGGAGAGGAGGAGAAGGAGGAGGAGGAGGAGAAGAAGGAGAAGGAGAAGGAGAAGGAGAAGGAGCAGGAGAAGAAGGGAAAGGAGGAGGAGGAGGAGAAGGAGGAGAAGGAGAAGAGGAAGAAGGGAAAAAACTCGGGGCGTTGAGCGATTTGAAAGGATTTCATGCATCAGTTAAGTCCCAATGTCCCAGTTCATGTACCATTATACTATACACGAACCGGCAAGCCCCGAGGCCAAAATGCTGGTTCAGGTCCCGTTGGTCGTTAGGAGTACAAAGTCGGTAGAAGCCCGGCAGGTTGATAGGGAACTGATACCCGACAGACAAAGTTCAAGCTCCAGTCCAAATTTAGCAGCAGCATCCAGGGAAGGTCCCGGAACTTAACGGAACCAATAACGTTTTTTGGCCAACAGGTCCTGGGGGGCCGTTACAGGTCTGGAGCAGACAAAGATTGTCAATTCCTACATAAGCTGCTGCAGTACCTGGGGACGGCACTTGTTCATTCACATGTTGCGGAAGCGCTGCTACATGCTTGTGCAACGTTTCGAGTGAGAATGATTGGGGGAACAGGAAGAGTTACCTGGCGCCGTGCGCCATAGCTACGATAGAGAGACAGAGAGAGAGAGCATACCTGAGTTTGCTGGGCATCAGCGGCCATAGCCACCTGTACTAGATGTTGGGACCATTGCAACAATTTTGTAAATTGGAATAATAATTTCGATTTTCTGCTGATCTCTCTCCTTGCTTTGCTGTGCGATTGTCGTGCGAACTCAGCTCAGTGCTTGCATGGTTGCAAGTGGGAGTCAAATTGATCCTATCATTGCACATTTTACATTTCATGCTAGAACTGCCCGGAACCTTTTTTTTCATTACATTTCGACACATGCAATGAGCCCGGACGTGATGATACTCGTCACATTACCAGTCCATATGATTATCGATCTGCTGATGAATGACAAACAATCGCAAATGTGTGTGATGATAGAATGAGGTGAGAATCATACACAGACGAAGGAGGAGAGAGGGAGAATAGACMAARGAGAGAGAAGAAGACAACAGCCCACTWCTWCTTCGGGTTYCTCCTCCTCCTYGCCACCTCATCAATCRATAGACTGAATMCAATGTCTGAAGTTCTTCCTCAAGGTGCCAYGTGGCACGTCAATCTGTCTACATCAGCAAATGGAGAGTATCGTCATCAACCAGGTACGTATCCTCGATAACCACAGTCTTGATCCCCTTCCGAAATGACGAAGAATCAGAACAGCCTCATCAATGTCACAGCCCGCCACGTCATCAATCATATACAGGTGGCAGCGGCCACATCAGCAACGGCGCGTGGCAGCTGCCACGTCAACATGCCCAGAAGACCATCGCCAGCCAGCACCTTGCCAGCCAGCAGCGCCTTGTCGTCCTCCTCTGCCAGCATAGAGTCGGCGTCAAGCCAATGTCGCAATGTCGCAGCATAGCAACAGTGTCAAAGTCCACGCGTGAAGTCAGCATTCACGCAAGACTGAATGTCCTCCAGCCAGGAAGTCAACTCTTAAATAGCGTGGATGCGGGGTCTGGACCCCGGGTACTGAGGTCCTGCACCGTCCAGATCTCGATATGAATGAGGGCCCAGATCGGCCAGAAACTGTATTTCTCCCGCCCTGAATGCTGTCTGGGTACCTGCACACGACAAGTGAATGTATCCGACCATAGGCCTGGGTGCGGTACCTTTGACTCTACAGTTGTCTTTGACTGTTGAATTTCCCTTGTGCTGCGTTTGGTCACACAGCCTCCTCGACAGACTCAGGCTGGGCATGTCTCGGTCACATAGCCCAGCACAGACAACTGAGTCTGTGTCTTACCGGGGTCAAAGTTCTGATCCCCGGTCTGCTGCTGAACAGGGTTACTGCACACAAAGTGACTACTCGAGAGGGATACAGGGGGAGGGAAGATTCCAGTAACTGCTCGATTGTTCAATATTGTTTTATTTCCATTCAGCATGCATTTCAACAAACAGTTTTATTTTTATTTTTTATTAGTTAGCTGTGACGGACTGCTAACAGCTAACAGACTGTTGCAGATAGAGTAGTTGTTTATTCTTGCTGCAAACATCTGTTTCAGACTAGTCAAAAGTAGAAGTAGAATTGTTTGTAGGGGTCTGAAACTATCTGCTGTTACCACTTGACTGCTTCCTGATAAATCTGGACCATATATTCAAATCTTATTCATTAAGCTGCCACGCTGCGGTAGGTCCCAGCGAGGACACTAGTTCAGATTGCATGCCATGTGTAGCTTTGGGGTGAAGATGACAATGAGGTTGAGACATAGACTAGGATGAGGGGAGGATTGCTTGTGGACAGGCACTTTGTCGGCTGACCACTTGCCTGGTGTCAAAGACCAGGCGAGGAAAGGAGACAGCGGAGAGCAGCTGAGGAGAGTTCGGTCTCGCAGAAGGTACAGGTGGCAGCAGCCAACGCAGTGATCGCACTAGCAGCTGTAGTAGCAGCGCACGTTAGAGCCAAGGCCGAGGCAGCAAAGGCTACCGTTTCTGCAATGTCCCGGGTTTCTTCCCAGGCCTGTTCGATAGGTGTTAGTCAGGGCCTATCAGGGCCTTGCACCAGTCAGTCTGTTGGCGTGCAGGACCGCCAGCAACAACCCTTGTCAGTGGAGGGCGTTGAGATTAGAGAAACGAATGCCCTTCACACAGAGTTACAGAGCCGGATACAGGAGGTAGAGGATGGACGAAATGAAGCTAGAAGAAGAAAGCCTAGACCAGAGGCGAGGGAGGTGAAACTAAACAGGTTGGAAGCTTTGGATGTGGAAGCTCCTAATAAGCGGACACTTCGGTCCAGTCAGTGTGGCCGAAGTACAGGTCTTAGGGAATGCTAGCCGCATTGATAGCCGGTCAGAATTAAATTCTGGCTGCGCAGAGAGGCCTCAAGCCTACGGTGGGGCCTGCGCAACCCGTTGTAGTTTCCCCCAGCGGTGGCCGGTGTCTCCGTGTCATTGCTGCCTATGAGCGGGCTCTCAGTACCTCAGTATGGCATATTTCCAGCAGGCGGTTCATCAGTAGATAGTGGTGGCAGACTCAGGATCCGCTTCATCTGTCCCCATATCAACTGCTGCAACTACAGTGCGGCAGCCGGGCCAGCGGCTTGTGCAGCAGGTTAGGCAACTTGTTCCA